GGAAAGGAGAAGGGCTTATGTTTTAACTCCGTTTACCAAAAAGAAAAAAAAAAAAAAAACTAACAAATTGCGGAAGCTATCAACAGCTCAAAAGAAAACAAAAATCCTTAAACCTGGGAAAATAGTGTAGAAGAAAATCAGTAATGTTTTAGTCAGAAGTCATAAAATTCTAATTTATCAGTTCCGTCTTATGTGGTTAATCTCTCTGCTTTTGAGTGTGTAGTGTTCCTGTGGTCCGATCGTTTGTCTAAATCCTGGAAGTTCAGAAATACGATCTCAAAGTTATCAAAAACCTATATTCAAGAGTACTTATCAGAGTCTTTTTCATTAATTTCCTTAAAAGAGGCAACTTTGGGGTTGTAGCCTATTACAGTGTTTTAAGAAAACATCAGATTAAAGCAATTAACTGTGGACAGCGAAATTTTAAATGACCATGGTTTGAGTTCTGATTTTACGATAACTGAAAATTGACAAATTTGATTTTTTCTGTGACAAACTACATTAGAGCTATTTAACATTACAAGTATGACTAACAACATACTCTTACAGACAGATACTTAAGACTCTCATACAATTTTGAAATAGCCATTGATACTCCACAGCTGAATACCATTTCATATTCGACAATGTTTCTCATATAATTTCCCAACAATGAGTGTGTTGCAGTCTCTCTCTCCTTTTAGGCATAGCAATCTTTCCTATACATATTTAGGTGCTCCCGAGTTGAGTGCAAAGATATTTGTAAGCGTTACATCTTCTTGATGTATTAGCTTTTATACTACTGTATAATGCCTTTCTTTGTCTCCTCTTAAACTTTTTATCTTAAAGCCTCTTTTGTCTGAAATCAGTATTGCAACTCCAGCCCTTCCGTGGTTTCCATTTGCATGGAATATCTTTTTCCAGCCCTTCATTACTAATCTGTGTATGCCGTTATCCATGAGGTGCATTTCTTATAGGCAACAGACAGAAGGTTTCTGTTTTTTTTTCAGTCTGTTTAACCAGTCTGTGTCTCTTGATTGAAGAATTTAATCCATTAGTGTTAAACATTATTAGTAGTATTTCTGAACTTCTCCCTACCATTAGCCAATTTCTTGGTTTGTGTGTGTTTTGTTTTTGTTTTTGTTTTCCCCTTGTTTCTGTCTCTCTTTAGTCTTCTTGGTATATCACTTCCTAAAGGACTTCTTGAGGAACTGATCTGGTATTGGTAAATTTTTCCAGATTTTGCTTATTTTTATCTTCCCATTTGAAGGATAATCCTACTAGTTATATAATCTTGGTTGAAATCGTTTTTCTTTTAACACTTTGAATATATCTTCCCATTCTTTTCTTGCTTGCTTTGTTTCTGTCGAAAGTTCCAATGTTACCCTGATGGGATAACCTTTGTAAGTGACTTGACTTTTTCTTGCCATTTTTAGTATCCTGTCTTTATCTGTGATTTTGTTCATTCTGGCTATGATGTGACGTGGAGAGGATCTTCTTGGGTTGATTCTATTCAGGGCTTCTTTGTATTCCTTGTGTTTTGGATGTTTGATTGCTTCCTTGGGCTTGGGAAGTTTTCTGCAAGTATTGCATGGAATAGACTTTCTATGCCCTTATCCAATTTTTCACCTTCTGGAATACCTATTATTTGAATTGTGGGCATTTCATAGTATCTAGCATTTCTTGTATATTGTCCTCATTTCTTTTAATTATTTTTTCATTATTTTTGGTGCTTTTATCTAAGTCCAAGGTTTTGTTTTTCAGCTCAGAGATTCTGTCTTTTGTGTGGTCCAGTCTATTAATATTTTCGAGGGAGGTCTTCGGTATTACTGTCTTCATCTGTAGGAGTTCTCATTGGTTTTTTTCTTTGTAATTTTTTTATGGTGTCTGTCTCCTCCTTCAAATCCTGTAAAGATTTTATCTTTGTCACTCACTCACCATGAATATTCTGAACTCTATTTCTGACATTCCTTTTGATTCCTTTGCGTTGCTGTTCATGGTTGAAGAAGAGTTGCTCTGTTCCATTGAGGAAGAGATAGTTTTTTGTTTTCTCATACTTTTTGTGCCTCTGCGCTGGCTTCTAGTCATCTGGTGGATTATACTCTACTACTCATTTTTCTGTTGATTCTGTAGTATTTGGGGGAAGAAGAGCTCTACTTCTCAGATGTGTTCTTGGTAGAAGGCCTTGTCTTCTAGTCAGAGAGTGTGTATATAGCCACCTTTAGGTTGCTTCCTTTCTCAGTCTCTTGAGACCAGGTGCACCTGAGGCTAACTTGGAGATTTTCATATGGAAGAGGGAACAGGAGTCATGCAGTTCCGAAAACTGTGAAGTCTCAGAATATTTCTGGGATGAGTTGGGAGGCAGGAAGAAATCTGGAACAGTCTCCTCCTTGGCCTTCCTCACCAACTGCAGCTTCTCTCTCTGTTGATAGCATCTTATTCTCTTGAGTTCTTCTGTCCATAAAAGAAGGAGCTATAGAGATAGCTCTATAGCTATATAGGTAAGCTTGGTAATAATAACATAGCATCATCAAGAAGGTGCAGTTTGCCGCCAGTTGTCACTTTCCGAAATGTGAACTGGGCCAGCTGTGGCATGGTGGTTAAGGTGGCCGAATTCCTTATGACCAGCTACACTATTCGAGTCCCAGATCCAGTGGCTTAAGAAACATGCTGGGTGCGTGCGTGCCCAAGTTCCCAAAAGGGAGAAATGGAAAAAAAGAGGAACTGTGGCATGACTGTTAGCAATGGAAAATTCGTGCGTGTGCACATGGACCCTCTGGCACATTAAAGAAAAAAATTTAAACTGAAATTTGTTGTTTTTGACTTTCCAAAAGTCAAGTGAACGAAGGGAAGAGTCTAAGGAGATTCTTGACCAAAATGGTTGATGTGGTTGACAGGGATATCAGACTTATTTTCAATATGGAAAGGTAATATTTTAGCCTTCTATAATATAGGATGATTAGTTTTTTGAAAGTCAAGATTAGTTAAATGTAACCAAATGTAACAAAGTTAAATGTGATCAAAAGTTATTTTCTGAGCTTTTTTGTATTAATTGTTTAATGTACCTTTTATTTCCTTATCTCAATATTCTCTTGAACTGAAATTTATTTTGTATTTAGTCTTACCTAAGAACTTCAGTAAAGATTTGTCAGTGATGCTTTTTATGAATTTTCAATATATCACCTTTAAAAAAGTTTCGCAGGTGGAAAAGGAAAGAAAAACAGTTAAGCTTTTACTACATGGTAATAACAAATTTATTCATAGAGGATATATTATTTGTTGTCCAAATATAATTAGAAAGTTGTTTTAGTCAGGTCAGGTAAGCAATAAATCTATTATTTATTTCAGATAACATTGATGGCTACCAAGTTGTACTGCAAATTTTACTTAGTAATATGTCTAAAATATGACAGGCCTATATCTAATGACCATGGAATTATGTACTTAGGCAAACCAAAAAAAGTGATAAATTCCATAACTTGCCATATTCATTTGAAAGACTTAAAGTCTCTCGAGTCTATTTCTATATTTATTTAAATATTTTAAAAATTGAATTAGCACCCAATGAAGCACGTGTGACATCAGCAGTTCACTTGATGCCATGATGACTGGCCAGCATGCCAGATGATGATGGTTTGTTTTGTTCTCGTTCTAATTACAGTTCAGAATGCAGTGATGGGGAATGGTCTGCTTCTTTGCCGCACCGATTTTCTGGTACAGAAAAAGATCAGTCTTCGAGTGATGAAAGCTGGGAAACTCTCCCCGGAAAAGATGAGAATGAACCTGAGCTGCAGAGTGATAGCAGTGGCCCTGAAGAAGAAAACCAAGAATTATCTCTTCAGGAAGGGTATGTTTAACAGATTTATTTTTGTGTGTTTTGTATAAGAATGGTGTAGATTGCATTCAGATACTGAGTATGCTTTTGGTTGCATTTATAAGCCCTATCTAGGACTGATGGTTTCTATTCATTTCTTCATTATTATTTTATTACTTATTTTTTTAACTTTTGCTAGAAGGTGCATGTGCTCACTAGAGAGAATGATAGTGAGAAGGTACCCTCCCCCTTGGGGGTGGTTACTCTGCAATCCCTTCTCCTCCTTTTCTCCTTTCCAGATTTTGGGCATGCACACAACACCGCTGGTATGTTTTTCAAGCCTCTGGGTCCGGGACTTGAAACATGTAGTAGGCCATGTAGGATCCAGCCACCTTAACCACCACACTGCCAGCTGGCCCAATTTTTGATATTTTAAAAAGAATAATTGAGGGGCCAGTAGGTAGTATAGTGGTTAAGGAACTGGACTCCCACATACATGGTCAACCATGGTACCCGAACCTAGCAACTTGAAAATCACACTGGGCGCATGTTTGTATGTGCCCATAATCCTGAGAGGAGACTAGAAGAGAAGGGATTGTGATGGGGCCATCCCCCAGGGGAGGGGTAATTTCTCACTTTCTGTCTCTATAGAGAGCACACCCCTCCTATGATAGAAACCTTAAAAAAAAAAAATTGGTAGTTTCAGTCTCTTCCATCAAGATGTAATGTCTGCTTCCACTTTGGTTGGGTTAGGAATGAGTGAATTAGAGCTCCTGTTGCTATAGGTGATAAGAAGGAAGAAGGGGCATCCTCAAGAAGGAAATCAATGATTCATTCACAGAAATGGAGGCTGCAGTTGCACAAGTTGAAGTTGTAATATTCTTGCTGTTTGCACTGGTTGGCATCTCCAGAACCTCAGTGATTGACAGTAAACATCGCTGTCTTTTCCTAAGGTTAATGGGAATGCTATAGTACAGGGTTGTCAGGCTCCCACTGTGAAGGGAGGGCCAGGTAATAAATGTTTTCGTCTTTGTGCGCCAGTCTGTAAGAGCTGAAGCTGCTCAGCTGTACTGGTGTGCCATAAAATACTCATAGATGATACAGAAATGAATGGGTGTGTGTTTCCCATTAAACTTTCATTTACAAAAATGGACAGGTTGGAAATAACCTCTGGTCCATAGTTTACTGACCTTGTTCTCACATTTCCCTAGTAAGAATGATTCTGGCTTTTATATTGAACACACACACACACACAAGTTTTTTTAATATCACACTAAAAGAAACACCATGTTTTATTATTCAGTAGGTTTCTAGTAAGAAAATGTTTATTGGATTTTATTAAAGTCTTTCCAGTATCAGCGGAAATGATCACAATGATTTTTTTTTTTTTTTTTTTGGGACCTGGTAATTAAAGGGAATTCTTCTGTTACTAGATTGGTTAATACAAACCACCCTGCTCTGTGTAGTAAACCCAGCTGGATCACATTGTCATGGTTTGTGTTGTTTTAATGAGCTACTGGATTCTGAGTTGCTGATATTTTAGTTTTTAAATTGGGATCCCTCAGTGTGAATTGTCTCTAGGTTTGGGTTTCAATATCTGTTTTATGCCTGCATGGCTTAAAAAATGTTTATACTTTCTTTTTCTGTTCTCGCCATCTGTTATTTAAATTGCATATTTTATTCCTTTACAGGTTATTAGTATTAATTTGTAAAATCATTTAGGCTTGGTGTTTTATTATGAGGAAGTATCTTGATAATTTTAACTTGTTTCTATAAAATATGGTAATTGGTCGGTTCTGATTTTTAGTCTCTAATAGAATCTATTTTGGTACATTGTTTTCAGAGGGCAAAAACTTAGCTTAGACTAACATTAAAATGTATTCTTCTTGAAGTAAATAAATTTCCAATTTGAAATTAAATATAGGAAAACCCAGGAATAAATATAAAGAAAATCTATAAATTCACAAACTTATTATAATTGGTTTTAACAGTGGTAGGTTAAGCTGGTACTTATTCCTCTTCATGATTTTTATGTTTGTTTTTAATCACTATTGCATCATTTACTAAGTATTATTAAATGTTTCATATGCCATTTGTGGTATGATTATTCATTCAGCAAATGTTAATTTAGTATTTTCTGTGTACCAATCACTATGCTATTTCTTAGGATTTTATCAGTAAACAGGACAAAAAGATTCCCTGGTGAAGCTTACCTTGTAGTAGGAGAGGCAGCTAATTAACAAGGTGCGAGCCTGAGAAGTACGGGCTGCAATGATTGCTGATCGCTGTAGTGGGAATGAAACAGTGATGGGAAAGAAGGTAACTCCTAGGGACCTGTGCTCTTTAGTGGTCAGGGAGCCCATCTTGGGAATGACTTTTGAGCTTAGATCTAAAAGAACAGAATTAACAGGTAAGAAAAGAGCTTTTCTAGGTTAAAACTACAAGCAGATATTAAAAGAGAAAGGTTGGCGCATATGAAGGTAGTGAGGCTAAGTGAAGAGTGATCTGAGATGACCCAGGCAGGAGCCAGACTCTGCAGGAGTATCCTAATACCATCTGAAATCTATTCAAGAGAGCTGTGAGGTTTTTAAGTGGACAGTTAACTGATCTAACCTACATTTAAAACGATTAACTCCAGTTGCTCTGTGGAGATTGAATCAGAAATAGATTGAAGTTAAAAAAGGAAGGGGTACATTAGGCTGTTAAACTGTTTGGTGACAGTGAGGATTAAGGGGAGTAAATAGATTTGAGAATATTTCAAAGTTACTAATAAGAGAGATGAGAAAAAACGGAGAATCAGTGAGACTTGAGTTTTGGTTTGAGCACTGAGTGGCTGTTATTTGCTGAGATGGGGAAGTCAGGAGAGGACTAGGAAGTAGGAACTCCCTTTAGAAGTTTGAGGTGGCATTAGACATGCAGTGTAGATGGCAAGTAGGCACTTGGGCTGCAGCTTACATGTTTAAGGAAAATGTGCCTGCTCAGAGTGACACATGGAAATAATCAAACACCTTTAGGGGTAACCAGCTGCTTGCATTGCTACACTACAAAAGCATGACCTGGTAATTCACTTAAAAAAAAGAAAACCAAATGAGGAATAAGGGAACAGAACTAAAATACTGGGCAGCATTTAAGTTGACTGGTATATGATCGGAGTAGAATATATTGTTCTGGAAAGGATTGAAGTACTAATTAACTTTTGATTAAATTAAATTTGTAGAGCTATATTTTAATGATAACCACTATAGAAACAAATACAGAATAAGTATACATACTGGAAATCTGTACAGAGGGAAAAAAGGAATTAAGGCATGGGAAAAGAACATTTAAAGTTAGCTCAAAAAAAGTAACAAAAGAAGAGGAAGGCATAGCTGGAAAAAAAGCATTTAACAATAATACCGTGCCCTCCACAAAAGCATAATAAAGGAATAAAGCAAAGAAAAGAAGTTAAAAATAGAGACTATGGCCAGCAGGTGGTGTGGAAGTTAAGGCAGCTGGGTTCCACATGGCCAGCTACGCAGTTCAAGTCCTAGACCTGGAGACTTTAAATCACACTGGGCAAGTGTGCATGAGTGCCCAAAATCTCAAGAGGAGAATAGAGGAGAAGGGATTACGGTGCAGCCATCCCCTCTGGGGGGTGATTTCTCAACTGTCCTTGCTCTCTTCTCTCTCTGTCCCTTTCTCTCCAATTAGCACATATACCCTATAGCAAAACTAAAAAAAAAATAATAACATAAAAATAGAATCTAAAAAGATACAATGTAGGAACAAGTTCTGTATGTTATGATTACAATAAATACAAGTCAAGGGACCAGCAGTTAGCATACTGGCTATGTCACTGAAATCCCATGTAGTAGACTGTGGTTCGAGACCCGGACCCGGTGGCTTAAACTCACGCCAGGCACGTGTCTGTGCGTGCCCAAGATCCCAAGAAGAGAAAGGAGGAGAAGAGATTGCAGTGTGGCCATCCCCCCGAGGGGGGGGTGATTTCTCGCTTTCTGTCTCTGTCTCTGCTCTCTGGTAAGTGCACACACCCTAGCAAAAACCTATCCAAAACTAAGTAAATAAATAAGTAAGTAAGTAAATACAAGTCAACTAATTTTTACTTGTAATCGACAAAGCTTCTCAGTGGTATTTTTCTTTAGACTTAATGCTGTTTACAAACTGCATACTTATACAGAAAGGTTGAAAACAAAAGGTTACAGGGACCAGCAGTTAGCATAATGGCTATGTCGCTGGACTCCCACATAGTCGACCGTGGTTCAAGTCCTGGACGTGGTGGCTTAAACTCACGCCGGGCGCGTGTGCATGTGTGCCCAAGATCCCAAGAGGAGAATGGAGGAGAAGGGATTGCGGCATGGCCATACCCCCTGGGGGGTGATTTCTCGCTTTCTGTCTCTCTGTCTCTCTCTGTCTGACGAGAGCACGAGCCTTATAGCAAAAAAAAAAACCTCTCCAAAAAACGAAAAAAAAAAGTTACAAAATGATACTTCAGGCAAATACCAACCAAAAGAAAGCTGAAATAGTTTTTTTTTTTTTTTAACCTTAGCCAATTAGGCTTAAAGACACAAAAGCTTTATTTATTTATTTGAGAGATATTTTTGTGATAGGGTGTGTACACTTGCCAAAGAGACAGAGAGACAGAAAGCAATAAATCACCCTCCTGGGGGGATGGTCACGACACAGTTCCTTCTCCTCCAATCTCCTCTTAGGATTTTGGACATGCATGCACATACACACACACATACACACACATACACGACTGCTGTGAGTCACAGGATTTGGGGCTCAAAAAGTAGTTGACTACATGGTGGTCCAGCAAGATAACCATTACCATTACCATCTGCTGGTCCCAGACACAAAAGCATTATTAGGAGACAGAGTGTCACTATTTAATGGTTCAAGTCCAGTTTACCAGTGAAATGTAGCAGTTCTTTTTTTTTTTAATAATTATTTTATTTAACTTTATTTATTTCTGTTTGACTAGAGAAAGACAGAGTGAGAGGGAGAAAGAGAGAGAGGTGAGGGGAGGGAAAGTGAGAAAGCAAGCCTCCAGGTCTGGGACTTGAACCACAGTTGGCCATGTGGAAGTCTAACCCCCCCCAACCACTGCCGGCCATCTGCCGGCCCCCAAGAATTACTTTATTTATCTATTTATTTTAATTTTACCAGAGAAGGATAGAATGAAAAGGCAGAGAAGCAGGGAAACTAAGAAAGCAAGCCACCAGGTCTGGGACTTGAACCATGCATGGTTGGCCATGTGGGATTCCACCTGCCCTTAATCACCACGCCATCTGCTGGCCCGAAATGTAGCAGTTCTAAAGTTGAATGCACCTAGTGAAATAATTTCAAAAATATAAATCAAAATTTAATTGAACTATATGGAGAATGTTAAATTTAGTATCATTAAAAGTTTTTATACATACCTATCTCAATTCATGTATATAAAAAATTAGTATATCTTTAGCAAATTTGAATGACTCACTTAGGCATGGTTTCATGAAGACTGCATCCTATGGAATATACAACCACACAAGGAACAGTTACAAAAACAAATATGTACTGGGCTGCAAAGTACAGATCAAAGAATCCGAATCCTGCAGACTATTCTCTGAACATAGGCAGTTAACTTAGAAATAAATAACAGGGCCTAGGTAGTTCAGGTACTCTGCAGAGGAAGCTGGATACCGTATGGCTGACCAGTTTTGAGTCCCAGCCCCAGGGTCTTGGAATAGATGCCAGGCGTACAGTACATGGGTACTTTCTTTCTCTCTCCTACCCCTGCAACTTGTGCACAGGCACACAGCCTCTGGCCAAAAAGATACAGAAATGACAAAAGTCTAATTTTTAAAATACCCCTGCATTTTTAATTACCCACATTTCTAAGTAACCAGTTGGACAAGGAAGACATTAAATAGCAATTTTAAAATACCTAGAACTCAATGGTAGTGAAAATACCACCAGTGAAAATTTGTAGAATGCTGTAAGTTGAATTTATGGGGAACTTTATGCCACTAAAGCTTATGTTGGAAGATGAAAAGCCAAGAAATGGAGAAGCCATGTTTTAACTTAAAATAGAAAAACAATATTAGAGTAAACAAAGAAAATCAAAGGAGATAAGAATTAGAATTAGGAAAGATAGGGCCAGCTTGAGGGTACAGTGTTTTGATGCTATCATGTGATGCCAGATCCATATGGGCAATCACTGGTTCAGTTCCCTGGTCAAGTTGTTCACACGAGGCACGCACATCTATGATCCTGGCTAGCACAGAAGGTCCAGGGAGATGGGTATGAAGCACTTGGGTGAGGGTTTTGTCTTCTCTCCCCTCCTGTTCTTCTTTCTTTTTCTGTCTCTTACACTCATGAAAGAAATAGATACACTTTTTTTTTTAATTTAAAAGGTATTAGAAAGGATAAGAAAAAAAATTAATGAATTAAAAAATGGTTACAGTAGAAAAGACCAAAACCAGAAGTTGATACTTTTGAAAAACTTGACTACAATGGACAGTCCACTTAGATAGTGAGCGAGAAAATACATACAAGGCACAATCTAGTAATTCTGGAACACAAAAGTGGCTATAACTGCAAATATGATAAAGATCGAATGGACTAAAAAGAGCTCTGTAAGCTTTGTGCTGGTAAATTGGAAAACTGAAAAATTCCCAGAGAAACAGAATTCGCCATACTAACTCAAAAGAAACCAGAAATCTGAATAATCCTGTAAGTATTGCAAATCAAGGATTTAAAATCCAATCCTTCCATGGTGGAAACAGCTGATCTTGGTGGTTTCAGGACTCTGGTTTTTTTCATTTACATCTAAATAGGAGGAGAGAGAGACCAACAGGCAGGCCTTCTTGACAGGGTCTTCATGCCAGGATTTCCCACTAGCCCCATAGCCAGCCAGGACAGGCTTGCCAGGCTTGTGGAGGCCAACCCAGAGCCTTCCCGTGGGGTCTCTAGCATTGCACGGCAGTGCCCCACAGCTGCGCCACTGTAGCTAGGCCTTGGGTGGAGTTCTTTTTAATTAAACTTTAAAACATCAGATATTTCACACTTAAATACATTTTTCCAGTGAACAGAAGAAAGAATTTTTCCCCCAAGTTTTTCAATAGAGCCAGTATAATAACTCGGTTACCAAAAGAGTATGTGAAGAAAATTATAAGCCTATTTTTTTAGTTAAAATAGCTATCAAAATATTAAATACAATTATTAGATAACTGTATTTGTAAGTGTATTTTTTTTTTAAAAAAAGAAAATTTAATTAGCAGAGTTTATTCCAGAAATGTGTAGATAATGGTGTAATGGTTACATTGCTGAATTCCCACCTAGTTGACCATGGTTTCAGTCCCGACCCAGCAACTTGGACACATGTGCATGTGTGCCCAGAATCCTGAGAGGAGAATGGAGGTGAAGGGATTGAGATGTGGCCATCCCCCTGGGGGGTGATTTCTCTCTTTCTGTCTTTGTCTTTTGGGCAGGCACACACAAACACTGTAGCAAAATTCTCTTCCCTCATTCCCCCCAAAAAGAACTATGTAGGTAATTTCACTTAGAAAACCTGTAAATGTCACTTAGCATGTTAGTAGACTATGTAAGATCCATATTTTAGATTCTATAGAAATGGGGGGGAGATATCACTTAGATATCAGCACCTTGTTTGATAAAAACTCAGAAACTAGAAATAGAATGTTATTTCCTTAACTAGATAAAGAAAATCTACTACCAAAAAAAAGTTTGATGAGAAATCATTTTCAGTAAAGAATTTCCCTCCAGGCCAGCCTATAGCTTAATGGTTAAGAGAGCTGGATCTCAAACAGCTCACTACAGTGAGAATCCCAGCATTGGAGGATTGAAGAACACGCTAGGTGTGTGTGCAAACTGTCCACAATGCTACCCAGTGGACAGTTGGAGGAAGAGAGGGATGAGGGATTGCAGTATTGGGTGGTGCTTTCACCTCATCCCCCACCCTCCTCTCAAGTGTACGCACCCTCCAGCAATTAATCAGGAGTTAAAACAAGGATACTCATTAGTACCAGTTCTTTAACCATTGTATTAGAAGTCTTAGCATGATACAATGGGAAAATAATAAAAGGTGAAAAGATAAAAAAAGGAAGAGAAACATGTTGCTCCAAATGTTTTTGAGGTTTTTGAAGCATTTAATTTTATATTATAATCTTACATCCTGTGGGATTGTTTCTCTTGTTAACTACACAAAATGGAAAATACTATATTCAGTTGTCTAGAATCTTTTTGGTTTTTAAGAGCAAAATTACTTTTTTTAAAAAGTCAGGCCAACTGTGGCTCTACGCAGTAACATATGGTAAATTCGTGGTCAATGGTAGGTAGGAATTCATATGTACTTTATATAACATGTTGAAATCATATGCAATAGCTCATTTACTTTCTGTAACAGTTTTATTTATTTATTTAAGAGAGTTTTTTTTATATAGGGCATGTGTGCTCACTGGAGAGAGAGAGAGAAAGCAAGATTTCACCGCCTGGGGGGATGGCCATGCCGCAATCCCTTCTCCTTCATTTGCCTTTCAGGATCTTGGGTACACACACACACAAGCCCAGCATGAGTTTTAAGCTGCCAGGTCCAGGGCTCAAACCACGATTGACTGTGTGAGAGTCCATTGACATACCATTATACTATCTGCTGGTCCCAATATAACAGTTTTAATGAATCATTAAAGACTGAATCAAAACCAGCCATTTGCAATGTGTTTAAGGTGGCTGAATCCTCATGGCCTGTGGTTCAAATCCTGTGCCCAGCAACTTGAGAAACTCACCAGGCTCGTTTTCATTCCTGCCCAAAATCCTGAAAGAAGAAATGGAGAAGGGATTGTCATGGGAGAGAAAGCTACTTTCTTACTTTCCTTCCTTCTCTCATGCCGTTTAGCAATTTTTTTAAAAAAAGAAGAATTAAGTATATAGACAAGAATTGCTTATGTAGTAAAGGAATATTACTGACATATTATAAATTCTTTAGATTTGGAATGACTTGCCTTTGTTTTGTTATCTTTGAATTTAAAAAAAAAAAGCCCATAAATTAAAATACTGAACCACTTTCACCAGTATATGCAGTCAAGCTTTGTATTATGCATCTAAAGCCAGAGTAACTGAGTTGTTGTGATGGCTCTGTAATAGAAAACAGAAATGATATTTTGTCAAGAGTACGTTAAAATAATAAATTTTTTCTAAGAACTATTCTTTTTTTTTTTTAGAGGTTTTTGCTACAGGGCGCATGCGCTTGCCAGACAGCCAGAGAGCAAGAAAGCGAGAAATCATCCCCGGGGGGGGGGGATGGTCGTTCTGTATTCCCTGCTCCTCCATTCTCCTCTCAGGATCTTGGTAATGGACACACACGGGCCCATCGTGAGTTTAAGCCACCGGGTCCGGGACGCGAACCGCGGTCGACTACGTGGGAGTCCAGCGACATAGCCATTACGCTAACAGATGGTTCCCTAAAATGCATTGATTCTCACATATGGACATTCTCTATTTATTTTTCATGTATGCATGTTTTTCCCCCTGAAATTAAATCTGTATCAAATACAAATTGAATTCTAATAAGAATTTATTTTAAAACCCATACAGAAATTGTTGTATAACTGTCTTTTAGTACCTAAACCAGCATTCAACTTTGGCATTTCTCTAATTTTAACCTCCTTTTGATATACTGAAAGATATTTTCTGTTAAATAAATTATAAAATATTTCATAAAATGCAACTTTTTTTTAAAGTTTGTTTTTTTCTGCTGTGGATGAGAGACAAACAGGCTTCCCCAGCAGGGCCTATGCCATGGTCTTACCCCAGCTTTAGCCAGCCGCAGGTGATGGATTTATCATGCACAGTATGTCCTGGTAGGTCTCTGGATGCAAATGGAACCATGCAGGTCAGTCTTGTGGAACACTGCGATACCACGAAGCAACTATTACAAAACTGTTCAACTTTTTTTTTTTTTTTTTTTTTTTTTTTTTTTTTAAGAGAGAGGTTTTTTTGCTGTAGGGCACGTATGCTCTCTGGAGAGACAGACAGAAAGCAAGGAATCGCTCCCAGGGGGATGGCTATGCCACAGTCAGTCCTCCCATTTTCCTCTTGGGATTTTGGGTGGGCACACATGCACGCACACACACACGCCCAGTATGAGTTTTAAGGCACCAGGTCCAGGAATCAACCAGGGTTGACTACGTGGCAGTCCAGTGACGTAACCATTGCACCATATGCTGGTCCTAAAACTGTTCAGCTTCTAAAATAAATTCTTAAAGTACCTTCTATTAAGTTTATTGCAACTTAGAATGTTGATTATTTCAGGAGCCCAAATTTTCAAAATTGGTCTTTCATATTACTATAGTGTCAAATTAGTTTTAATAGTTTTCCTCCTTAGACTTGATCTTGGAGTTAACTAGAGTCCTGCTCTGGTTCATCCATGGTTGTATATATATTTTCTCTAAGCTAGATCTTATTTTCTTGCAGTGACTCAGATGATTAATAATGTAGTTTTCATACTTCCAAGGTATGTATAGACTTACAGGTCTCCTTCCAGTTGATGTATTTTGCATTTAAAATGATGCAAAATGATGTATATTTCATTCAGAATGATTGGGTACACTGAATGTCAAATACGTAATTCTGACAGGTCAATTAAATCTAGCAGGGAGCAAGACTTACCTGGCATGTAGCTTGGAGAAGACTGAAAAATAAGAATAAATTAAAACATTTTTAAAATTCTGAACTCTCCACTTACTACCAATAGAACTTTGACTAAAGGGAGAAGAAAGATCATCCTCTTTGATTGAAATGAAAACCTTGAATGTTTTAACAGTTGTTCAGTGCTGGTTGAACATCTGGTAGCTTAGCTGTATTAAGCCTAAGTAGGCAAAAAACTGACTTCTTAATAATTGGTCACATGGCTCATATAACTAAAAATACCTCATTTCACTATTGTACTTTGCATTAATTACAGGAATAGTTTCTGAAATTAAGAAAGTATAAAGATAGGTTTATGTTTTAATTGTATAGGTTTTAATGTTTTGGAAATTTTTAATGAATTCTTTATCATTTATTTCTGGAGTAGCTATTTCTGCTTAAATTTCCCTTGATAAAAATTACAGACATTTTAAAATTAAAGATTCTTATACATGATTACAAAAAGGAACTTAGTATGAAACAATCAGCTAAAAGCCATTCTAACCAATTCCTGTTATATATACATCCAGAGATATTATATAAAAGCCTGCATGAATACCTATTCCACCTTTTATTTTATATAGCTGGTAGCACATTGTATAGACATACTGTGTATACCTTTTGTTTATTTTTATAGATGTATTTTTAAAAATAATTTCATTTTTGTGCATATAAATTGTCTTCATTCTTTAAAAAAAAAATACATAGTATATTACTACTGGTATGAGTATACCAGTCCCCTTTGGTGGGACATTTTAATTGTTTTATAGCTTGGGCTATCATAAGCAATGTTGCAAGGAAAACACTGTATATTCATTTTAGAACTATCTAGAAGCAAAACCACCAAAATCAATGAGTATATACTCACACTTGTTGCTAAGTTTCTCTACAAAAATGTTGTCAGTTGTTTTCTTATTAATGATGTGAATTCTACTTTTCTTTGGAGCTTCACCAACACAATATATTGTCAGTTTTTTAAAATTATTTTTGCTAATATTTGAAAAACAGTGTTTCACCATTTTTTATTTATATTTTGTTTATTATAGATAGAGCTTCTTTTCATACATTTAAATGCAATTCGAATTTCCTTTTTTGCTAACTAATTATATCTCTTGTTCTTTTCTGTTGTTGTATGTTCATCTTTTGATCTTTTTCTTACTGATTTGCTTTTATATTTTAAACTTCTGTTTTTGAAGGGAATGCCTTTTGTCTCTCATGTGGTACCATTTTTTCTATTTAAACTTTGTTTCCAAATTTTTAGTGTTTTGACTTTTCCGTAAAGGTCTTCTTTAATATGTGTATTGTAAAATTTATCTATGTGTTTGTTTTTACTTTGGGACTTTGCATCATGCTTAGAATGAATAAGATTTTTGTAAAATTTCTCTTATGATTCTTCAGGTACCTTTTGTCTTAGTGGCATAGAAAGGGTAGTATACATCCCCATGTATTTCAGAAAGTATAGTTGAAATTTATTTAAGGGCAAAATAATGACACAGGGATTGAACAGCTCTCTTCCTCAAGGTGGATACACAGTTGTCTCAATACCATTTATTTAGTAGTCCTTTTCCTCCTGTTTTGAAATGCTTTCTTTTTCGGGGGGTGGGGAGGAGAGGTTTTTTTGGCTATAGGGCATGTGCACTCGCCAGAAAGACAGAGAGAGACAGAGAGACAGCGAGAAATCACCCTCCGGGGGGATGGCCACACCACAATCCCTTCTCCTCGATTCTCCTCTCGGGATCTTGGGCACTCACACACACGCGCCTGGTGTGAGTTTAAGCCACCGGGTCCAGGACTTGAACCACGGTCGACTACATGGGAGTCCAGCGACATAGCTATTACGCCAACTGCTGGTCCCAAAATGCTTTCTTTATTTATAGCCTCCTTAATTGTTGTGTACCATCAATTTGGCTGTTCCTGTTTCTTTGAAGTTGTATCCTAGGGGGGACTACACTGACAGTCAACAAGCAAAATAGTAGCAGGACTAGCCTGGGGCGTGGTGGTGAAGGCAGGTGAATCTCACATGGCTGACTTCGTAGTTTAAATCCCAGGCCCATGACTTGAAAAGCATGCTAGGCACATCTGCATGCACCCAAGAGGAGAACGGAGAAGGGATTGCAGTGTGGCCATCCTTCCTGGGGGGTGGGGGGTGTGTGATGGCTCACTGTTATCTTTCTCTCACTCTGTTTCTCTCTGGCAAGTGGACGTGCCCACGGTCGACTACATGGGAGTCCAGCGACATAGCTATTACGCCAACTGCTGGTCCCAAAATGCTTTCTTTATTTATAGCCTCCTTAATTTCTTGTTGTGTACCATCAATTTGGCTGTTCCTGTTTCTTTGAAGTTGTATCCTAGGGGGGACTACACTGACAGTCAACAAGCAAAATAGTAGCAGGACTAGCCTGGGGCGTGGTGGTGAAGGCAGGTGAATCTCACATGGCTGACTTCGTAGTTTAAATCCCAGGCCCATGACTTGAAAAGCATGCTAGGCACATCTGCATGCACCCAAGAGGAGAACGGAGAAGGGATTGCAGTGTGGCCATCCTTCCTGGGGGGTGGGGGGTGTGTGATGGCTCACTGTTATCTTTCTCTCACTCTGTTTCTCTCTGGCAAGTGGACGTGCCCTATAGCAAAACTTAAAAAAAAAGGGGGGGGTGCTATTAGTAACAATAAGTTCTGTAATTTAAATAAGCAGAGTGATATGGTAGCCAACAACTGAAGACGTACTTAAACTAAGTGGCCGAGACAGGCCCATCTGTGGGCAGCATAATCTGACATGGCAGAGGGGAATAGCAGTTTAAAAATGTTAGGAAAAACATTTCAGGGGGGAATGATGGCCCCAGGGTGGCTATGATCTCCCCAGGTTCCAAGAGTGAAAAGGAGAGGAGGAGCATAGTGATGAGGGACAGGAGTGTGGGAGGTGATGAGGGAAGTGGGCTGAGGAGAAAGCATGCGCCATTTAGGGATTTGTAGGCCACCTTGTGGAATTCGGGTCTTATTTTGCAGATATACTACTAAAGAGGAGTGTTTAAAATAGAAATTGTCTAGAAACGGATTTTTCTTATTTTTCTCCTGCAAAAGAAGTAGTACAGGGATATAGGTAATTCATAAATCAAAGAAATACATTCATGTATAATGTGTAACAAGGAACTACATGCATATGACCTTCTGACAAATTTGCTTCCTTTTTAAGTAATTTTACCTAAAGGAAAACAGTTTTTAGAATTTTAAAAGTACCAAGGCAAAGAACTCAAAAGCATAAAGATTTACTTGTATTAAATACAGTTATTTAGGGACCAGCAGTTAGCATAATGGCTATGTCGCTGGACTCCCATGTAGTCGACCATGGTTCGAGTCCCAGACCCGGTGGCTTAAACTCACGCCAGGCACGTGTGCATGCATGCCCAGGATCCCGAGAGGAGAATGGAGGAGAAGGGATTGTGGCGTGGCCATCCCCCTGGGGGGTGATTTCTCGCTTTCTATCTCTCTGTCTCTCTGGCGAGCACACGTGCCCTATAGCAAAAACCTCTCCAAAAAAAGAAAAAAAAATACAGTTATTTAAAGAACAGTACTGTGGTGTGCTCTACAATACTTTCTTCCTTAAATTGTTTGCGTTAGGGAGCAGACGTCCTTAGAAGAGGGAGAGATTCCGTGGCTGCAGTACAATGAAGTCAATGAGAGCAGCAGCGATGAAGGAAACGAGCCTGCCAATGAATTCGCGCAGCCGGAAGCTTTCATGTTGGACGGAAACAATAACCTTGAAGATGACTCCAGTGTGAGTGAAGACTTAGATGTGGACTGGAGGTAGGTCGTGTGGTGTTACTAGCATATTTAATGGCTTATTGAGAAGAATTTGTTCATGGTTCTAAATTACAGCAGTCACATCTCTGCGAGCTAAGACGTGTTCCGATCTTCCATCTGTTAGTCTTGTCCTCCCTCGGAGCTTGTTGAAGATGTCACTTCCTGCTCCCTCCAGTCAGCGATCTCTTCCTTCACTGACCTGTACCTCTCTCATAACTTCCCTTCCCTTATTTCCTGATCATTATATACTTTTTGTGGGGGTTTGCATTTCTGACTTTCTTATGCTACTTTATATGTACTGTAGCACTCAGCATAATCCTTTGAAAAATAGGTTCTTTTTAGTTTTTGCTATAGGGCACGTGCACTTTGCCAGAGAGAGAGAGACAGAGGGAAAGTGAGAAATTGCTCCACAGTGGGAGATGACCACATGCAGTCCCTTCTCTGTTCTTCTCTTGAGATTTTTGGGCGTGCATGCACACACATACACGCCCAAGCCACTAGTGTGGTTTCCAAGCCACTAGTGTGGGACTCACACCACGAAATCAGCCATGTGGGATCCAGCTGCCTTAACCTCCGTGCCACAACCTGGCCTGAAAAATAGTTTTTGTTTGTTTGTTTGTTTGTTTGTTAAAAAGGAGTTTTGCCATAGGGCACATGAACTTGCTGGAGAGAGAAATAGTGATAGAAACAATGAGGGGAAAGTGAAACATCACCCCAGGGCTTCTGGCCATCCCACAGTCCCTTCTCCATTCTCCTGTTCCCGGCGTGATTTTCAAGTCACTGAGTCCAGGACTTGAACTGTAGTCGGTCATATGGGAGTCGAGCAACACAACCACTGCACTATCTGCTTGACTCAGAAGATAGGTTCTTGATGAATGCTACTTGTAGAATGTTTGGAACCTATGATTGCATCGGAAATAATAGTTTTCCTTCAGTGCATGGAACTACAGGCAATTAAATGATACCTTTCCAGAGATGTTAGACTGACAAGGAATAGTGTGCTTCAAATAAAAGCGTGTAAGTGAAGTGGATTACACAACTAACTTTTCATGATGTTATGCTTAGAATTCACTGTTTTGGGTCTAGCAGGCGGTGTGCAATTTGTAATCCCACCTTAAACAGTCCTGTTCTCCAGCATCTGTTTTCTAGCTTTCCAAACATCATGGAGAATCAGTGGCTTCACCTAGTCCAGCCTTGCTGATCTCGATGCTCCTCCCTCCCGGTCTTCTGCCCCCCACTACCCTCTCACTGCATTCCCTGTCAGTGCTGGCGTCCGCTGTCTCTTGTTGGAAGAATCTTCTGTTTGGTGTCATCTGTGCACGTTGGGAGGTGATTTTAAAGGGAATTTTTTTCAGTTGCACATTTCAAGACTATAAAAATAGGTCGTTACAGTTCCGTTCTGTAGATGCACCATCTTTATAGGTGTACCGAGACCTAGCAGGTTCTCGACCCACTGAAATAGTGCAGTGAGCTGTTTTCACCCTCCTTAAAGCTTGTTCTGTACTTCTGGCTGTTCTTTACAGACATACTAATTTGAGGTGACATTACTGATGTAAGTGGTATTTTCAAGATCTTGATACATATTTCTAAATAACTTCTAAAAGTGGTTATTTCACATAAAATTTGAAGGAATAGTCAAAGTCTTTAATACATATTATTTTAAGTTAAATTTTAAAACTTTTATTTAAAAAAATTTTTTTGAGAGGTTTTTACTATAGGGCACTTGTGCTCACCAGAAAGATGGAGAGAGACAGCAAGAAATCACCCCCCAAGAGGGATGGCCACACCACAATCCCTTCTCCTCCTTTCTCCTCTTGGGATCTTGGGCACACACACACACACACACACACACACACACGCCCGGCGTGAGTTTAAGCCAATGGGTCCGGGACTCGAACTGTGGTTGACTACATGGGAGTCCAGCGACATAGCTATTACACTAACTGCTGGTCCCTAAACTTTTATTTAAATTCTGTTTTGTTTTTTTTTTTTGGAGAGATTTTCGCTATAGGGCGTGTGCACTCGCCAGACAGAGAGAGCCATAGAGACAGAAAGCGAGAAATCACCCTCCAGGGGGGATGGTCACGCCGCAATCCCTTCTCCTCCATTCTTCTCTCGGGATCTTGGGCACGCACGCACATGCGCCTGGCGTGAGTTTTAAGCCACCGGGTCCGGGACGCGAACTGCAGTTGACTACGTGGGAGTCCAGCAACATAGCCATTATACTAACTGCTGGTTCCCTAAATTCTAATTCACTCAATCTTTTTGGATAGTCTTTAGAGATAGTCTCAAAACTTGTGAAGTTGCAGGCCTTCAAAGTAATTTTTTTTTTTAAATTTGGGAAGCATTTTAGTTTTTGGTTTTTTTAAGACAAATTATTTGAAGTTTGCTTTTTTCTTCTATTTTTCTTTTTTTAATAAGAGAACACAGAAAGGTCATAGAGCGGGTTTTTTGACACGGTCCACCATGTTGTGATGCCCTTCCCAACCTCCCAGTTAGCTGAGACCCTAGGCACAGATTCAGGATCTGAACCCAGGTCGCCTGTGTGGCTCCAGTCTTGTGCAGTAGTATGTCCTACTGCCTGTACCACCACAGCTGGACCTGAAGGTTATTACTCTTTCGGTGTTTTTTTTTTGTTTGTTTGTTTTGTTTTTATGTCTTTGTTTTCTTTTTTTTCTTTCTGTTTTATTTTCTTTTGAAGAGAGATTGTTTCTATAGGGTGCATGTGCTCGCCAGAGAGGCAGAAAGCGAGAAATCACCCCCAGGGGGTACAGTCATGCTGCAATCTCTTCCCCTTTCTCGTCTCAGGCTTTTGGGCATAAACACACACACGTCTGACATGAGTTTTAAGCTGCTGGGTCTAGGATTTGAACTTCATTCGACTACATGGGAGTCCAGTGACATAACCATTACACCACCTGCTGATTTGGATCCCTGTTTATCTATTTATTTGTTGTGATTTTCAGGCTGTGGGATCTGGGAATTGAACTGCTGTTAGCCACGTGGGAATCTAGTGCCTTAACTACCACACCACCTGCTGGCTGAGGTTATTATTACTCTTTTGGATTTAGTTATGTCAATACTTCATTAGTTGCATATGTGGCACTAGCTAAAGAGTGGTAGGTGAAATATGGTTTCATTTTCATATTAAAATAGCATGTCATCTTGACAACTGAGTGGAAAACCATGTCCACAGCAGCATTTCTTCTCTCTGTAGTCAGAGTTGGGCACTCGTTTTTTTGGCTCACCACTACTTAGAAAAAAGTGAACGTTTTGGTTCTTTATTTTAAAGAAAAATGAGGAAAGTCCTTTATCAAGCTTATTTCTTTATCTGTTTTAGAGAAGTGCTATAAAATATCCAGAGAGCATCTCATAGCTTGGTGTAAGAGGAAAAGATGTGGAAAAACCACAGTTTTTGGATTTAGATAATCCAGATCTACCATTAATTTATTCTTTGGTACCCGTAAGTTCTCTGTCTTCCTATAAGAAATTAGTATTATAGGGATTAACCTAGTAAGGCTCTGAGAAATTAATTCTATGTGGATACACCTATTGCTTATTGGATTATATTTTTAAAAGAATTACTCTATTTAACTTTGTTTTAATTTGACCAGAGAAGGACGGAGAGAGAGAGAGAGAAAGTGAGAAAGCAAGCCGTCAGGTCTGGGACTTGAACTTCAGTCGGCCATGTGGGGAGTCCAACGCCCTCAACCACCACTCCACCTGACAGCCCCACTTAATAGAATTTTTAAAGCTATTTTTAAGTCATTTTAGACTTTCAGAGAAGTGGCATAAATAGTACCAAGAGTTCTCATAAGAATTCCTGGGTGTGTCACTAAGATTCCCTAAATGTTAACTTTCTTTTTCTTTCTATTTTTGCCATAACCGTGTACCCACCAGAGAGAGAGAAAAATAGGGAAACTGAGAAATCATTTCTCACGAGCAATGTCATGCTGCAATCCCTGTCCTCCATGTCTTCCTCCTTTTGAGTTCTTGAGCATACACGCACATGTGTCTGATGGGTTTCTCAAGCTGCTGGCTTGGAGACTCAAACCCTGTGACTGGCTATGTGGGATCCAGCCATCTCACCACACCATCACACCATAGTCTGACCCAGTGTTAACATTTTAAAACCATCATTCTCTGTTTCCTTTCTCGTTCTGTTATTTTGATAGATTTTTTTTTCTGACCCACTTATGAATAAGTTATGGGCATCATGCCCCTTTGCCTCTAAATATTCTAGAATGAATTTTCTAAAATTAAGGACATTGTCTTTCATAATGCAGTAGAATGTTAAAGTCAAGAGACTAATGTTGATACAGTACTGTTAAATAATTTACAGACCTTGTTCACATATGTGTAGTCTCATCAGTGTCTTTACAGAAATTATTTTCATGGTCCCATCCAAGACCACTTTTTGCATTTAGTAAATTGATTCATTTAGTCTCTTTTAATACGGACATTGCCTTAGTCTTTTTGGTTTTGTTTTGTTTTTCGTAGAATGACCCTATGGTTGTATTTGTTTGATGACATGAATAGATTTGAGTTATGAATTTTTAGTAGACTGAATACCATGGAAGTGATGTTTGGTCTTTCTCAGTAAATCTTACAGTAGAGTGCACATGGTATCAAATTAAACCATTTCTGATATTAATTCCGGTCATTGGTTATGGTATAATGACCTGTTTGATTTCAAACTGTCAGGCTTCTATCTGTTAGTTTTAGAATTCGCTAGTGATTCTTGTCTGAAACAGTTATTACTGTGGTGATTGCTAAAAGAACGGTTATTAGAGTTTGTAACAGATGATTCTACTGTGGCCGGATTATAGACAGATTAGGTATGGTCAGCTTGGAGAAGGCGACCATTGGGAGTAAGTGGACTCAGCTCTTTGAGGAGCTGTGTGGCGTTAGCAGCCAGAACCACTGCAGCAGTTATCAGTAGCACTACTTACTTCATGTAAGTTTTAAACGGCTGGAGCTTCCCACACGGGCACATAACACCCTAAGAAACAACGTATATTTTGATGGAGAGATGGTGTCCGCTGTTTCGAGAGTGTCTGTTTCGAGAGTGCCCTCTCTGTGCCAGGCACTTTTGTGCATCCACTCAGCTAACTTGTTCTCTAAGTAGTCTCAGTTGAATCATTTTCTCAAGTTACTTAGCTGTGATGCGGTTAAGTCCCTGTCCGACTAACCCCAGAGCTCTTCCACTTTGCCCTACATCTCACTGCCAGATGAAGGAGTTTCAGTTTAAGAGTGGGTAGATTCAGTCATTTCCAGTATTCTCATTGGAACACTGCTGATTGTGTGAGAATGTCTGTTCATGTGTTCCGTGATATTTCCTAATGTCTAAATACTACTAAGCGATGTATTCTGCAAACAAAGCACTTCTGTGTTTCTTGGCAATAGATTTGTAGTTTTAGTGATCACATGGATTGACATTAAAACTATTTTTGAGCTAGCTTGTGTAACTGTGGATGTTTCTGACTATGATATTTGAATTCTGATAGGATATAAAAGCCAAAGTTTCCTGTAGACAAAATGTGCTCAGTTTTGGAGATCTTTGATTTATGGGGTGGTTAGTTACAGCCACAGCAAGTGCCAAATAAACAGCTAGAAATGGTGGTTTGGAATGAGGTAAAAATTAGAAATTACTTGCAGAGAAGGTAATTGAAGATGGGCTTGAATGTAAGTTCCAAGGGAGCAAGAACAGAGGATCAAGGATATATTTAGAGTTTTCAAAATTTTGAAATACATAGTATTTCTAAGACTAGAAGGAAAGGAGAGAGATCTGTGTATGTCTAAGAATAGAGGAAGAAGATTAGAACCAAAGACATATTTTTCTTTGTTTCGTAAGAAAAAAATACTACAAATGAGCAGGCAAGAGCTAAACATTTTACAAGCCACGTAATAGTGAAAGTAATAGTGAAGGTAGCCTATTTTGTAGAAGAAAAATGAGATTAATGAGAAAGGCTTAAGTAAATGAGGTATTTCTTTTTCTTCTTTTTTCTTTTTGGAGAGGTTTTTGCTATCAGGCGCGTAAGCTCGCCAGACAGACAGAGACAGAGAGACAGAAAGCGAGAAATCACCCCCCAGGGGGGATGACCACGCCGCAGTTCCCTTCTCCTCCAGTTTCCTCTTGGGATCTTGGGCATGCACATACCCAGCGTGAGTTTTAAGCCACCGGGTCCAGTACTCAAACCGCAGTCGACTAAGTGGGAGTCCAGCGACATAGCCATTACGCTAACTGCTGGTATTTGAGGTATTTCTGGACCTCAAGTCATTTAACAATATAAAGCAAGAGAACAGGAAAAATAAACTTTGATTAATAATAGAATCAAAATAAATGTAGTGATTTTCTTTATTCTCACCTCTGTTGAGATTGGAAACTCAAACAGGAGATACATGGAAAGCACTGGGTGCTAGTTCCCAGAGTTAGAGTGAAAACACAGAAGAGGATTTTCTGACAGACCGCGCGTGGTAGCCCACTGGGCCAGACGCTGACATCTGCTCTCCGTTGCGCTTCACTGTTCTGTTGGCTTCCTCCTACCTCTGACCCCACTTGTTTCTTTTCAAATATTTGAAGACGTTCAGTTGACAGCATGTTTATTGCCTTATCAGTATGCTAATCTATCGTGTCCTTAGCATAAGATTTCCCAAATCATGTTGTGGGTTTTGTTTCTCTGGTTTTATTTTCCAGCCTGTTTGATGGCTTTGCAGATGGACTAGGAGTCGCCGAAGCCATATCTTACGTGGACCCTCAGTTCCTCACCTACATGGCACTCGAAGAACGCTTAGCCCAGGCTATGGAGGTACGTTAGTAATTCTGATACCCATGTATAAGTTGGTGGGATGCAGAATGGTAAGAGTTAAGGTTTAAAGGGTTTTCCTAACTACTCTTAAGACAAGGTGAGGAGTTGTTTCATCAATTTAATAATAGTTATCAATAAGGATTCTTACCAGCGTCCATATATAAATTATACTTGACATTCTGCCACTTTGCCTCAAATTGCAGTATTTCTCATTTTTTACTATAGAGTTGAGAATGTTTTGCTTACATTTAGAAAACATACTTTTTTCTTCTATTGAATTATTCAAGTATGGAAGTCTAAATATTGTTATATACATACCCATAGATATATTTGTGAAATGAAATTGAAGATCTCTAAAAATATACTACAAATCACTTCCTGTCTTTTGTACTCGAGGATTCTAAATGTAGTCAAGAATTGTGCCGCCCTTATTCACATATATACTCTTTTTTTTTTTTTTTTTTGAGGGGTTTTTGCTATGGGGCGCACGTGTTCTCTGGACAGATAGAGAGAGACAGAGACAGAAAGTGAGAAATCACCCCCCCGGGGGGGATGGCCACACCACAATCCCTTCTCCATTCTCCTCTCGGGATCTTGTGCACGCATGCACACGCGCCCGGCGTGAGTTTTAAGCCACCGGGTCCAGGACGCGAACCGCGGTTGACTACATGGGAATCCAGTGACACAGCCATTACGCCAACTGCTAGTCCCACACATATATACTCTTAAATGGGATATTTTATCTTGAAATTTTTCAGGATTTGAAAGTCCAGTTTAGTTTGATAAATGAGATGACAGAAGATAGATACATATATAGATCCCTATCCATCTACACATGCATGCACACACACACTTATGATAGCTGTTTTTGACATCACTTTTTTAAAAAATTTGTAATCTGCCCGGGAGATCATTGGTGTTTTTTTCTTTTTTTTTTCCTTTTCTTTCTTTTTTATTTTTTAGGATATCTTTTATTATTATTATTATTATTATTTTACATTCAATCACTGTATAAGATGACCATAACAAAAATACTATATGCCAGTAGAAAAGTCGGAAAGAACATTCTGAGATAGGATACAATCAAGACTTTTGTCAGATTCTTTAACCTGCCTTGCCAAGTTGTGACACTTACAGAATAATGGTGCAGCTTAATAATTTTCGCCAGAAATATAATGCATAACTATTAAGTACCATGAACTTCCTTGAGCTAAATAACCCTCTCACGGCCACGATGCAGTACATGTACTCTGAGGTCTAGTTACCGTGCTTAAACAGTCTTCCATGTTTTATGCTAGTGGCTTATGATTTTCTGCATCATGGAGATATCTTAAATAAGAACTGTTGAAAATAAGCTTTATTATTTATTATTATACTAATGAGGAATGCTGTTTGCTTGGCATCTTGAAAGAGCCAGCCAGACTGGTCCCGGGAGGTTCTCTAGGTGCAGCCACTAGCAGAGTGAACAGAGACACTCTGAGGAGGAGCCTCCAGTTCCGTCTGGTGTTAGCTTCTGCTAGAGAGGAGCCCAGTGGCCTTGCCCCGTCACTTTTCCTTACCCTCCTGTACTTCTGCCCCCAATTAACGGCTCAACGGATCTCCTGTCACAGCTTAACAGCTTCTTCACATTTTAGTGCTCTGCTTTGAATTCAGTTAAGTTCATTCACTCTTAAAAAAATTAGTATGGTTCTGTTTTGCTGTCTCCAGAAATCTTTATTTTTCCATGTCTGGTATGCATTTATTAAGTTATTTTGAAAATCAAAACTAAAATAATCTATAATTCATGGTTTTGTTCCTTTCAGATTTAATTCCCTAACATTTAAGTGAATTAGAAACAAATAATAAAAGACTTGTACTTTTGTTTCTCAAGCAGTCCTGTCCCTTTTTAGAAGTAACTGCTTTAGGGACCAACAGTTAGCGTAATGGCTGTGTCGCTGGACTCCCACGTAGTCGACCGCGGTTCGTGTCCCGGACCCGGCGGCTTAAACTCACGCCGGGCGCGTGTGCGTGCGTGCCCAAGATCCCGAGAGGAGAATGGAGGAGAAGGGATTG